GCTTCCCATACAACTCCGGCTCAAGGACTGCTGATGGTGAGACAGCGGTCGCAGGGGCACGGTGGGTATGAGTACCTGAGACCAGCCCGGTAATAGCAGGTGAGCTGATGAGTTGCAGGCAAGGAGCAGGGTTCTGATGTAGCCATGCGGGATGGATGGATACTCGAGTGCAGCATGCTGAGGATGCAGGGTAAGACGAGTCGGGTTCGGTATCAGTCAGGCTTACAGCGACAGGAAGAAGAGTAGTCAGGGTACAGGCCAGGTCAGCAACGGAAGATCAATCAGACAGGAGCGGAGACAGAAGAATAATCCAAGACAAGCCAGAGGTCAGGGCAGTAAGCAATCAAGCGGAGATCAGGAACAGGCTGGTTCGGTATCAGGAGTCAATTACAGGAATCAGGGAACACGAGCAGGAAAAAGACCATATGGCAATGGGACAAACTACTGCAGCCAGTTTAAATAGCCCTTTTGGCACCAGCATTAATGACAGGCACGTGCCCGCATGTGCGAGTGCGCATGCGCGGGTGCACGTGAATGAGCCGTGGTCCAAGTACCTGCACATCTGTTTGACTGGTAAGGACTCTGCGCATGTGCCTATTTGTGCGCCGCAGAACTTCACCTGCACTATGGGCAGGCCTTCCCTGGCGGTTTTGGTTTGTGCAGCTAAGGTGCAGTGTAGTCCCAATTTAAAAAAACATGCACTTCTACCTATGATATGGAAAGGGAACCAGTCCTGTGCATGACACTGTGATTTTCAAAGACCATTAGAAAAGGGAGAACAAACACTTTTTTAGGAAAAAAATTAAGACGAATGGTTTTAACCATTGAAAGTGAAAGATTGTGTGTCCCTGCAAAGCTGGGAACACTATCCTTCACTTCCCCCAGTAAAAGCACCACCTAGTGTACACCAAGCACATAGGTTGGCACACAGTTAAACCTTTCATCACCCTAGATGCTTAACCCCTTCCCAGACAGTTCCATTAGCACAGTGTCAGTGCATATTTTAGCACTGATCACTGTATTATCGTCACTGGTTCCCACAAAGTGTCAGTGTCAGACAGTGTAAAAATGTCCACTGCAAATATCGCAATCCCGCTATAAGTCGCTGATCACCGCCATTACTAGTATAATAAAAAAGATTTTTAAAAATCCAGTATATGTCCCATAGTTTGTAGACGCTATAACATGCAAACTAATCAATATATGCTTATGGGATTTTTTTCTCTACCAAAAATATATAGCAGAATATATTTTGGCATAAATTTGTGAAGAATTTAATTTTTTTATTTGATGTTTTATAGCAAAAAATAAAACTTTTTTTTTTTTTTTGCAAAATTGTCGTTTTTTTTTTTTTTTTTAAAATGTAGAAAAGTAAAAAATGCAGGAGGTGATCAAATTCCACCAAAAGAAAGCTCTATTTGTGGAAAAACAATTATATAAATTTCATTTATGTACAGTGTTGCATGACCGCGCAATTGTCAGTTAACGTAATGCAGCGCCTTATTGCAAAAAAAATGGCCTGGTCAGGAAGGGGGTAAATTTTCCGGAGGTCAAGTGGTTAAAAGGGGGATATAGGGGGCTCTTCTCCATGTTACTATTTGAAAGTGAGTTTTTTTTTTTTAAATAGATATTACAAAATACATACATTTCTTGTGGACCACACTGCCAAGTAATGCACTGATGTAGAGAACTTGTCTGCTGAAGTCCCTTCAGTAAACCAATGCCAAACATGATCACCTGGTTCCCCACTGTGCTTAGGGGTTCCTCTTGCTAATCCCCATGTAACTGCAGGATGTAGGGGTTTGGGGAAACCTTCAAAAGGGTTACCTAGAATTAGGTTTTCATTTGTTAGTTGCTGATTTAAGTCCATTTAAAACTACACTGCTCCATTAAATTAAAGGAACACTTTAAAACACGTCAGATCTCAATGGGAAAATATATCATGCTGGATATATAAACTGATATGGACTGGGTAATGTGTTAGGAATGTAAGGATGCCCCCATCGTTTTATGGAAATGAAGATTATCAACCTACAGAGGACCGAATTCAAAGACACCCCGAAAATCAAAGTGAAAAAATGATGCAGCAGGCTAGTCCATTTTGCTGAAATTCATTGCAGCAACTCAGAATAGTACTCAGAAGTTTGTGTGGCCCTCACGTGCTTGTATGCATGCCTGACAACATCAGGGAATGCTCCTAATGAGACAACAGATGGTGTCCTGGGGTATTTCCTCCCAGATCTGGACCAGGGCATCACTGAGCTACTGGACAGTCTGAGGTGCAAACTGGTGTGTCGAATGGACTGAAACATGATATCCCAGAGGTGTTCTATTGGATTTAGGTCAGGCGAGCATGGGGGCCATTCAATGGTATCAATTCCTTCATCCTCCAGGAAGTGCCTGCATACTCTCACCACATGAGGCCAGGCATTGTCATGCACCAGGAGGAACCCAGGACCTACACCAGTGTAGGGTCTGAAAATGGGTCCAAGGATTTCATACCAATACCTAATGGCAATCAGGGTGTAATTGTTTAGCCTGTAGAGGTCTGTGCATCCCTCTATGGATATTCCTCCCCAGACCATCACTTGCCCATCACCAAAATGGTCATGCTGAACAATGTTACCGGTTGGCATAACATTCTCCATGGCTTCTCCAGACCCTTTCATGTCTGTCACATGTGCTCAGGGTGAACCTGCTCTCATCTGTGAAAAGCACAGGGCACCAGTGTCAGACCTGACAATTCTGGTGTTCAATGGCAAATGCCAATTGAGCTCTATGGTGCTGGGCAGTGACCACAGGGCCTACTAGAGGATGTTGGGCCTGCAGGTCACTCTCATAAAGTCTGTTTCTGATTGTTTGGACAGAGGCATTCACACCAGTGGCCTGCTGGATGTAATTTTGTTGTGTTCTGGCAGTGCTCATCCTGTTCCTCCTGTCAGTGGCCTCCACCTGTAAAACCATTCCTCTTTGGGGGTCGTCTAATTGTTGCCCATTTAGTACACCTGTTATTAATTTCATTAACACCAAAGCAGCTGAAACTGATTAACAACCCCCTCTGCTACTTACAAGACCAGATCAATATCCCAGGAGTTTAACTGACTTGATGCTATACTCTGCTCAAAAAAATTAAAGGCACATTTTAATCAGTTTATATGTCCATCGAATACAGTAGTATCCTGTCCACAGGCGTATAACAGTGATCCATGACTTCACTGCAAAACTGAATTGTTCATCACTCTGTTAAGAAAGTGGGAACAAGAGCTACTGGCAGGATTAACAGATAACAAAACTATGTGACAGGAAGGACTCAGAAAACAAGACTGCACCTTGTATCTCCTTTTATATTATTTTTCTCATAATTCCACTTTATTGCAGGCTGTAGGAAGAGATGGTTTTTGTCCACACGCAGCAGTGCCCCATGTCAGGAAGATCTGTAAAAATGCATCTTTTTGCTTGAGGGGTCTTTGGAGCATTTTTTTTAGCATTTTCTAAGGTGCACAAATCAGAGAACAATGATCTGCTGCAATTTTTTTTTTTTTTTTTTTTTTAAGAGGAAACGGTTCTTGTGGTAACCATACAAATCCTATATGAAAGGATGCTATTCTAGGACACGGAGCTCAGAGGACAAAAAACAACTATGTCTTAAAAAAAAAAATTTTCACTTTGAACTTGCACAGCCAGCTGGAATTGACTGCATCAAGCAAATGCGGTTGCCTCATTCACGAGCACTAAGGAAATAACAGGAAAAGAAAGGCCTACAAATTGGCAGATCAGGAAATCTGGACATCTGCAGACAATCCCAAAATCTTCAGCCCTATGTACATTTCTTTTGTACATAAAAAAAGACAATGTAAGGGAATGGGGATATGGAAAAAAAACAATTAGAGGCACTTTTAAACTCCAATAATGAACTTATTTAAACAAATATTTAAATTTAAAGCATTTTGGTACAGCTCTACAATGAGTGCAACAAAAACACTGTTGGTTCTGCTAATAAGAGTTCAGCACAGGATGGAATCTGCTTGAAAGATTATCAGTTACAGTGCTCCCAGGTCCCTGTGAACTACAGAACACCTCCCTCTACGTTATAGAGAAGGGTGCAGGAAATGCAGAGGTGAGTTGTGGAAGAAGAGTGCAGGAAGTGCAAAGGTGAGCTGTAGAAGAGGGGTGCAGGGAGTACAAAAGTGAGATGTGGATGAGTGGTGCAAAGGTGAGGCACTTTTTTCTGCTTACAACATATGTGTTGAGCCATGCAGGGTAGGATTAAAAAAAAACAAAAAAAACTAGAGGACCACTGTTACACCATTACGATTGCCCTTAGCAATCAGATTTGGTGTCTAATTTTCAAACTGGAGGTTAGCAGGTGAATGTTGACTGGTATCTTTAGGCAATAGCCCTTTTCTTTAATATGCACATTCAGATTTCAGCAGATGGATCATGTGGCCCCTCATCAGCTGCCCCTGTGATTTTCATGCAGACATGCAAATATGTACATTAACACAGGGCACCACTCAGCAATTAGAAGGTTGAAATTAATCTTCAGCTTTGTCTGTGAAACTCAGGTTCCACTAAATAAATTTGCAAAGGCTTTGACAAGACTTATGTTACAATGGTGCTCCTTAGGCATTGTCCAAAAGGTAGAAATGACATAATATTCTTTCATTATATAAGAAAGTTCCCATACCTGTACTTACTATTGCATCATTCAGAGCAGACAGCTAATGTTAGTCATAAAACCAAAATTGTAATGAGTGTCTTGCTTGAACCAGTAATTGGAATGACTCACAAAGTGTTTGCTCCAACCTCTGAACATCTGTGTACTGGCCAGGATAGCATTCCCTGCCCATAACTCCTAACCAGGGGCAGACTGACCATTTGGAAACTTGGGCACTGCCCGAGGGCCCGGGGTCAGTAGGGGGCCCCATGAGATGCGCCTGGTACCTTTTTCATAGGCTTTTTTGAGTTTGGGCAAGGACACAGGGGCCCCATGATCCCCTATTGCCCGGGGGGCCCCATGAGTTGTCAGTCCGCCCCTGCTCCTAACACACACTTGAGCACTGGCCAGAGTTTCCAAACTTGCCTGGAAATGCTTTGAAGGGGCTGGTGAGTGTGGCTGCATCAGCAACCTATCTTCTCCTAAACCAGGGGTGTCCAACCTGCGGCCCAAGATGGCCCAACACAAAATCATAAACTTAGAAATACTGCTACAGGGCGGCACAGGTGTGCAAAATCATATATATACATATACACACAGTATATATAATTTCGCACTTCCAGGTAGGGGGCGCAAGCCCTACCCATGCCGCCATTCATGGTCGCGGCTGTCAATTACGGGTCAACGGTGGTTATTACTCGCCGGTGCCCAGTGATTACCAAGGATCCCTGACAGGGAGGAGATCTGTTTTGTTTACTAACAGTTCTCCTCCCTGTCAGCTTGGGCACACTACTTGGGCACAACACAGCCATCCAAAGCAGTGTGCTTACAGTGAAGCACACAGACACCACCCCCTAGTAAAACACTCCCTGCACACAGTTAACCCTTTGATCGCCCCTCATGTTAACCCCTTCCTCTCCAGTGCAATTAGTACGTCAGTGCTTTTTTTTTTTTTTGCAGCACTGATCACTGTATTGGTGTCGCTGGGGATGTCAGTGACACCAACTCAGTTCCCCCCCAATGTCAGAATGTCCGCCACAGTCCCGCTATAAGATGCTGATCGCCACCATTACTAGTAAAAGTACAAAATAAAAACCCCAGTATATATACCTCCGTTTGTAAACGGTATAACTTTCACGTAAGCCAATTTACACGTTTAGAATTGTTTTTTTGTAGCAAAGACAGAATACATTTTGGCCTCAGTTTTTGACAAAATTTGATTTTTTACATTTTTTTTACTACATGTTTAACAGCAAAAATTCAAAATATTTTTTTCTCAAAATTGTTGGTCTTTTTTTTATAGCGCAAAAAATTTAAAACGCACAGGCAATCAAATACCACCAAAAGCTCAATTTGTGGGAAAAAAGGACGTAAAAAGGACATGAATTTAATTTGACTGCGCAATTGTCAGTTAAAGTAACGTACTGCCGTAAAGCAAAAAATGGCCTGGTCAGGAAGGGGGGGGGGGGATGGTTTAAAAATGTTTTGTTTTTTATTTTTTTGTAAAAATGCATTTACGCTTAGCAAAAATATGCGGCCCAAGCAAATTTGACAGTGTCTCTTCACTGGACTTTTACAAATTTTATCTTCCCAAATAAAAATCTCCCACTCTTCACAATCACGCCTTATTTATGTCATCTGTTTTCGGCAGCACCTATAATTGTGAGCAACTTTTGTCAGGGATGAAGCATGCATAGGGCAAAATTTGAACCAAAATATCTTATGAGCACCTTGAGAATTACTACTACATCCATCGAACCAGATATTGATGCACTAGTTTATCTATAAAAAAAAGTGTCCAATATCGCACTCGTTTTATGTTGCCCATTTTTACAATAAAAAAAATATTGCCCCAAAAATTTTGAATTACTCAGATAGGTACATTATCTATATCATTGGTCAGTAAATTGTCATCTGCCCAACTTTTTGTGCTCATCAGTTATCCTTGGTGTTAGTGTCTTATGTGTACCCCATGACTATTCCTCTTCTTCCAATGTGGCCCAGGAAAGTCAAAAGGTTGGACACCCTTGTCCTAAACCACTTTGAAAATCACATTTGGCCTTTCCTGTCAAGACTGTGAGGTGCATTAGGAACTACTCACCCACTTGAGCCCAAGAAAGATCCCCATTTATTTCCATACTACTCCCTAGGGTGCTACAGGAACATTAAAACATGGCTTTTGATTCCAAACCTGTAGTACAAGAGTTGCACAAAAGCAATTGTCACCCAGGATTTCCATCCACTTGGGACACCTGTGCCGCTGGCTAAACATATGAGTGAAAGCATGATTTAAGGGCAAACCTTGAGAAATGTTGGCAAACACTTCAGCATGACTTAATTGTTTTAAAACCAGATAAAATATGTAACAGAACTCATGATTTCTGGCTAGAACGTAAGTGAACAGAGAAAAAAAAACCCTTCACACAGTATCATAAATATATTTCTAAAATTAAAAATTTTCCAATACAATAAGCAGGAATAAAACGGGTTTACATTTTGTGTTTGACATTAGAAGCAAAAAACAAAGACAATGGGATTGTGTATGCACTTCTTCATAAGTCAGCCGCAGCCGGAAATTCTCCATAGAGACAGCAGGTCTTCCTGTGCACTCCTACAGATCATGACACCTTCAAAATATGGAATAGGTTTGGCAGATACATTCATCAGCATTATGCTAGCCATACATGTTCTCGATACAATGATCATTTGGAAGGGTTGTATCATGCATCCCAATGGAAAATCCATTTAGAATTTTAACAAGTCACTTTTGTGTTGTATAGAATGATTGCTAAAGATAGTTTGAAACTAAAATTGTGATTGTGGCACATATGGCCAGCATTAGAATTGTAGTAAACTTGTCATATTGAATATGATATATGCTAGGCTGTTATCCTGACCCACTGGGTTCAATACTTTAGGAGTAACTGCTTTGGGCAAGTACACAGAGGTCTGAGAAATGTGAATGTACACCTGCATACTTCCTCAAAGTCAGTGACTGAAGTCGGGAAGGTCAGCAACTAGTCAATCTGTCAACTTACATTTTTATTTCTCTTACCAATTCAAATGCCTAACCTTCAGTGTAACTTTGAGTCCCATTAGTTGCCATAGGACACCAAAGATGGCCCCGAATGGACAAGTTCATGCTGATGTAAAAAAAAATCCCACCAGGCCTCCTTCTCCATTCAAGTTCCTGCTCATCTCATCCTCACAACATTCTTCAGTGTTTGCCCTCCTTTGTCCCAAGAAGAAAGTCCCCACAGATCTGAATAAGGCTATACTTCTTGCATATCAGAGTATGTTACCCCATTAAAATGTATATGGACTTACTGCACAGGTACAGTTGCCGCCAGAGAAGATTTCAGGTCAAAGAAAATGAAACCCCGAAGGCAGCCACCACTACCAGGCACAGGTTAAGTACGCACCTCTGTACAAGGTGTCTTGGTTAGACTAGGTTAGTGAGGGTGAGCTAGTGGTGTTATGTATAAATGTAAACTTGTCCTTTAAGTCAGACACTTCAACTAGGCTAAGTATGCACAAGCTTGCCTAATGGTGCAAGCCATATTAGTGAGATGGCCTTTAGGGAGGACCAGTCATGATGGATCTATACAAGAATCCGAATACTCAGGCTTAAATCATTTTATGTGTGCAGGCTTCTTTTTAAAAATGTTTATTTATTCCTTTATGTAGCTTTACTAACTTTGCCCAAGCCGGACACATGAACATGCAAAACCTGGTGCAGCTATGCATACTAACCAATCAACTTCCAGGTTTTATTGTTAAAGCTCAATTGAATAAGCAGATTGGCTTTCATGCACAGCTGCACCAGATTCAGAGTGCCCTAGTTTTAGTAAATCTCCCCCTATGGTTCAGATGTCATATCAGAGCTCTGCTCTTAAGATTACTGCTTTGTCGACTTCCTGGCTTCACACTGTCTCCCAGCTCCAGAGATTGCGTAACAGAGTCACACAAGGACCAAAGCTGTTTACATTGCTCAAAACCATGAGTGTCTGATTAGGACACCAGGAGCTAGGAGGGCCAAGCATGACAGAGGCAGCAACTGCCAAGCTTTAGGATACCTTTGATCATTAAAGCAGAAGTGTCAGAAGTCTCACATGTTTGTCAAACCTAAATGAGGATACAAAGTTAACGGTTTCAGTAGAAAGACAAGTGTATATTCCAATTCTTGTATACCTAAAATTACATACTGCTAAGAGCCTGAGAATATATATACAGTGGGGATCGAAAGTTTGGGCACCCCAGCTAAAAATATGTATTAATATGCATAAAGAAGCCAAGGAAAGATGGAAACATCTCCAAAAGGCATCAAATTACAGATTAGACATTCTTATAATATGTCAACAAAAGTTAGATTTTATTTCCATCATTTACACTTTCAAAATAACAGAAAACAAAAAAATGGTGTCTGCAAAAGTTTGGGCACCCTGCAGAGTTAATATCTTGTACTGCCCCCTTTGGCAAATATCACAGCTTGTAAATGCTTTTTGTAGCCAGCCAAGAGTCTTTCAATTCTTGTTTGAGGTATCTTTGCCCATTCTTCCTTACAAAAGTCTTCCAGTTCTTTGAGATTTCTGGGCTGTCTGTCACGCACTGCTCTTTTAAGGTCTATCCATAGATTTTCAATTATGTTGAGGTCAGGAGATTGTGAAGGCCATGGCAAAACCTTCAGTTTACGCCTCTTGATGTAATCCCCCATGGATTTCGGGGTGTGTTTAGGATCATTATCCATTTGTAGAAGCCATCCTCTCTTTAACTTCAGTTTTTTCACAGATGGCATCAAGTTACCATCCAAAATTTGCTGAAATTTTATTGAATCCATTTTTCCTTCTACTCGTGAGATGTTCCCTGTGCCACTGGATGCAACACAACCCCAAAGCATGATTGATCCAACCCCATGCTTAACAGTTGGACAGAGGTTCTTTTCATTAAATTCTGTGCCCCTTCTTCTCCAAACGTACCTTTGCTCATTCCGGCCAAAAAGTTCAATTTTAACCTCATCAGTCCACAGAACTTGTTTCCAAAATGCATCAGGCTTGTCTATATGTTCATTTGCAAAGTTCAAACGATGATTTTTGTGGTGAGGACGTAGAAGAGGTTTTCTTCTGATGACTCTTCCATGAAGACCATAATTGTACAAGTATCTCTTTATAGTGGAATAGTGTACCACAACTCCAGTGTCTGCCAGATCTTTCTGGAGGGATCGTGCAGTCAAACGTGGGTTTTGAATTGTTTTTCTCACAATCCTGCGAGCTATTCTGTCTGATATTTTTCTTGGTCTTCCAGATCTTGCTTTAACTTCCACTGTTCCTGATGACTGCCATTTCTTAATTACATTCCGAACAGAGGATATTGACATCTGAAAACGCTTTGCTATCTTCTTATAGCCTTCTCCAGCTTTGTGAGCGTCAACTATTTTC